AGGCATACTTCTTTCCCCTTATCTGATTCGTGGCATAACTCAGATCATCTGAAATTGGGCACAAATGACTGTTGCCCACTGATTTCCAATGAGTTATGGCAAACTACATCAGCTGGGGCTCTAGTCCTGCACATTCAGAACATAATCAAAGCTCTTGAATAGATAAACTTGTCATCTCTTCAACATACTCAATACTCAGCATCAGTTTTAAAGACACTTCATCTCATAGAGAGAGAAAAGAATCCCTCAACATAATTCACAGTCCCCACAATTACCTCCTGCTTTGTCACATTCCGTAGGCATTGAAGAAACCTTAATCTTAATAATCTTATTATAAAATTTTGGGGGGGGGGTTTAGCCTGAAAAATGAGTACAGGCTAAAATGGATACAGCTTTTCATTCTTGCTGTATCCATAACCTTAATGAACACTCAGTCAGGCACTAGCAGTCTTTTCCAGTATCCTAATGACTGCTAGTGCCTGACCGAGTGTTCATTAAGGTTATGGATACAGCAAGAATGAAAAGCTGTATCCATTTTAGCCTGTACTCATTTTTCAGGCTAACCCCCCCCCCCCCAAAATCTTTTCTGTAACTCCATCAGAAAAAAGGGCCTCCTATATGAAGGTCCCTGATGTCACTGAGTTGTGATTGGTTTGGCAGAGTCACTGTTTTTTGTCCCTGAAGAGGAATAGACAGTCTGGTCCAAAACCCAAAACCAGCGGGAAAAACTTTGGTGAGGGACCAGGCTCAGAATAACTACTTAACATTCCATGGCCATAGGAGAAAGGTGATTTCTCCCAAACAGACCCATGAGCCAGCTTCATAGTTACAAAATTCAGGAAATCAATACAGATTCTTTGGGCCAGCAGAAGTGAATTGCAGCTGGACCCTTCTTTTCTTGGCAAACTTTCACAGCCATTTTTTTTCTTGTTTCAATCTATTACATACTTCTTTATACACACAACTTTCACCTCTGCACAATTCCTATCCACAAGAACTACTTATTCCTTCATAAATAAATGCAAATAATCTCAAATCTGTGAAGTACTTGAAGGCACAACTGCTGTCTCTGATAAACATGTATTTGTACCTATATGACAACCACTTATTTATGCTTATTTTGAAGTTCATTGGGGAAAAGTACCACATAGCTCTATTTTGTTTTTCAGAATTTGAAAGGACACTATTGAGTAGATAAGGCACCAAATCTGGGTATTGTTTTTTAGAACTTTAAAACATACAATTTAAAGATATTTATTTATAAAGTATCATTTAAAATTTTCAGGGAAAACAGATGATTCGTGTTTATTTTTTTTCATAGCAATGTTTTCAACCACAAAATTGCTAAATTGTGCTAATACACATATATGAGGAAGTAAAATGGGCTATAAATTAAAAGACAAATCTCTTTTCATTATTCAAGTTTAATTGCTAAAGTAAGTAGACAGCCTAAAGTGACTGATGACAACTAAATTAGATCAGTAAATTTCTTAATTTTAAAAAACTAAAGTGTTGAAACTAAGTGATTCAATTTGGTTTTAGCCTGATTGTCTTTTTAAACTGTTTTTTAAAAAGCCAAGATGGTCAACACTGTTTTTAATATTTGTATGTGACTTTTTATATTTGCACATTATTAATAAAGTAATTTATATTACAGTTTGGTAATTCCATTTTTAAGTGACTTGTTTTTAGCATATGGTCAGTCATGAGAGGAACCTGACAGTTGCATTTCTTCCTTTCCATTTAGGCTATATCAAGCAGTCTTTCTGTGACTTCCTATGAGTGCCTGGTAGATAAATCCTTGAATGATGCAACCTTTTATGATTACATTTTTTTGTGGAACACGACAAGACACTACTTTACCAACACTAAACTTACCATTTAAATCACAAGGGATATAATAGTATACAAGCAAAGATTGTGGGAAGACATTAAAAGGAATTAATAATTTAAAGACATTTCCCATATCTTCAAAAAATGAGCCATTGTGACAGTTTGGGTTTATTTCCTCATGTAACTACCATTAGGGACCAACAACTAGTGATATGTAGAACCTGGATAATACTTTTCAACTTGAAAATACAAAAGTGTTACTATGTGTTATAAGTAGGCTTGACGGGATTCAGTTTTTATTGGTAAACATTTATAAATGTTGATCTCAAAGACCAATGAAAAAAATGTTTTCAGGTCTACTTTTGGAAGGCTGCATAACTCAGAGCAAGAAGTTTTTATGCACAGCATTAGTTTATGTATATAAAACCAGAAAGGTCTATTTACACTAGAACTGATAAGCGTTTTACCATGAATTTAAATTGCAACCCAAGCAGGCTTTAGTCACATATGCAGTAATCTCTTCCTCTTATTAACTGTAACCTTCAACAAGCTTTTAATACTTTTGAATAGTCAAAACTATAAGGTGCATTTTTTATTAGATACACTAAAGCTTCTGCATGATGAATCATACAGTAATGGAACTTATCCTCAAATCAATCTGAAGAAAAATAGTCTGTTATATCTGTGTCTGTAGATCTATTTCTAGATCTATAGAAGCTGATGCAGATGGAGCTCAATAAAATATTGGAACTCCTGCTGTAACATCTCTTTTACATAATATTAAGTTGTAATTAAGCTTGTGATTGAAGAATTTATTCCAATTTGCTAAACCTGGAGTTTCGCGATATCAAGTTTCAGTAACTGTGGATTCCACAAATTGTTTGATTGCACCTCTCTTGGTAAATTTTTCTGTTTGTCTAGTTTTTCCTATTAGGCTAGCTTTCATGGATTAAAGTTAATGGTATTCAATTTTTGTGAAGTCTGGTATGCTGGAAAGGGAGGGAAGCTGTGTCATAAAATAACAGTGACCCTCCTTATTCTCCATGACTAGTGTCAGGAGTACATGCAATAAGGCCTTGGCCCTCTCCTACCCGACATTCTACTGTGCTGACCTTAAGTTAAGTAAGATGTTTCCTTTTATTACCTAAGTCAGCACATGAAACACCTGCACAGCCAGTCCTTGGGCCCAGCCCATTTGTGCATGGAAATAAGGGAAGAATGTTTATGAAACATGCTCTCTATGTGGGGCTGCCCTTGACCATCCAGAATATATTAGTCTGTCCTGTGACAGAGGTGGGGCACCAAGAGCACATAACTCCAGTGGTCCAGAGTCTGCACTGGTAGAAGTTGTTCTTGGTAGTCCCAGTGAGGCAAACCAGACCCCAAGCCTAGACATCTTCTGGAAGTGCTATAAGACCTTATTTGGCAAGATGTTTAGAAAGCCAAGTTAAGTTGGGAGAACGTTTAATGAGTTTTAGTTTTGTATCTTATTTTAATTACCCACTTTTACAGGTAATTTTTTCCTCTTATTTTAAGCTGACCTGAGCCTTTGTCCAAGCTAAAACAAATATACTTGTTCAGAATATAATGTCCATCTCTTCAGAGGAAAAGCAGTAGTGATTGTCAAGTGGCTACCTTACCAGGGCTAAGTACAGATAGTCAAAAAGCCCAAGGCTGAATCAATCCAATCTTCACAGGTTTCTCTAAACTGTGTAGATTGAACTGATAATGAAGTGAACTGCCCTGCACTTTTGAAACCAGAAAGGCAGCCAGATACTTCCAGAGGTCCAGACCAAAAGCTGGGGGCGGGCAGGAGGAGGTGGGGAGGTGCTAGAGCACACCTCCCAGACTGTGAGCCCCTGCCAAAGGCACCGAAATGCAGCCCAGAGGGTCCCATTCCCTTTTTTTAAAATTTCAGCTTCTATGTTGTTTTCTGTTGTTACTGGACTGCCAGGAGAACTACATTCTTCAAACTTCCCTCTGTGTTCCTGCCCAGATCCTGTTAGCCATTCTTTTCTGAAACTTTTAGTAAAACTTTCTTCCCTGTATCAGCTATAAGTTGTAAGAACAAAGCAACCTTATAAGACCATAGACTAAAGTACAGAGATAACAAATTTGTGTAAATGAAAAGAAAAAGGAAATAAGGAAGTCTTCCTTTTGGTCCTTTTTTGCTTTCTCAGGGATATAAACTTTTAACCAATTGTCACTTTTCTGGTCCACAAGAGTTCTGCTTTAATCCAGTTCTGAAACAAAGAAATTTAAATAAAACCAATCAGAGATACTTTATTAGAATACTAAGACTGTGTTTATCAGCCATTTATAAATAGTAGGTATAGGTTGGGGGGAAATTTGGGAACTTCTGCATGATACCTGCTGGACTGTTTGCCTGTGGGAACGTTTGGAGGACCCCCTGCCCTGGGGACCCTGAGCCTGGCCAGCTTTGCTTAATGGCAGTCAAGACCCACCCCATAAAACTCTGCTTTTTCCCAGCTATTAGTCTTGCTTAGTTAATTAATCAACAAACTTCTCACATTGGTTGGAATGAATCAAGGGTCTGTTTAAGTTTTTATCCATCCACCCCTTGTAATATTTGTTAACAGATTTTAGCATCCCTGGTCCGGGCGTGGTGAAATGACCCTTGTTGTGGAACATATTGATTACTTGATGCTTCCTTAGGTCAGGGTCACCACTTGTCTGGGGAATTTTGAGGTAGTTCTAGGGACTAGGGAACTAGGCTTCTGTTCTCAATTCCTTGATTGGGAACTGTGGGTCCTACAACATGGAAGAATTTGAGCTGTGGGTACAGGAGATTTCCAGACCCTGCTTCTGGGATAAGGGAACATTTGAAAATGACGGAAATGCTCTGGAAGACTGTAGCAGGGCACTAAGATGTGTCTTCTCCTTAAGGCTGAAGATTCCTGGCCAGCGAGCTTGGTAAGTTAAACAGAGCTCCCCAACTGCAAGTAATTGGCCACACCTGCTGATGTCACCTGACCAGCAGGAGGCAGGGTTCTGGGATATATAAGCCCAGGCTGTAGCTAACAGACTCTGTCTCTGACAACTGATGGGGGAGGAGCTCCTGCCTGCTAAAGCTACCTGACACCTGGTGCTGCCTGCCTAGCTCTCCCAG